TTCAGCTCCAAGCACTGCAAACTAAAGCCTCTCCTCCCGCAGCCGCCAGCCCGGCACTGACACCGCGCCGAGCGCCCGGAGCTCCGCGGGCCCTGCGGGAGCGGCCCCAGCCGCGGCTCGGGAGGCGATTGCTGCGATGGGGAACGGGGAGAACATCGGCAAAGCGAGCAGTGACCCGAACAACCGCGCACAGGGACGGGGGCGGCGGCTCAGGCCGGGAGGGAGGGAGGGAAATGCGGGAGGGAGGGAGCGCGGCGCGGGCCCCGCGCGGGGTCCTCGCCGGCCGGGGCCGCCCCCGGGGAGGCGCGGGGGTACCTTGAAGAGCGTGGCGGCGCGGCCGCGCTCGGTGAGCAGCACCAGGTCGGGGCCCGGGCCCGGCTCGAGGCTCATGCCGGGGCCGCCGCCCGGGCCGGGCCCGCGCAGCGTGAAGCCCTCACACAGCGCCGCCATCTTGGCCCGGCGCGCCTCTCGCGAGACGCGCCGCGTGACCCGGCGGGGGCGGGGCCGGCGGGAGGGGCCGCGAGTGTCGCGACAGGGACGGCGAGGGTCGCGACAGGAGCGCGGCTGTGACACCGCCCCGCCCGGCCCGCACTGCCCGCCTGCCCCTTCCCCGAGCGGGCGGGGAGGCTCCGCAGCGTCCTGCGGCACAGGGTGTAGGGGCACGGTGTAACTGTTGTAAATGCCGTAAAATCAATCGCTGCTCTCGGAACGCCGTCACGCGGCGGGGCAGTCGGGATCGGTCACGATTCAGGCCCTGAGTCACTTGTCCCCAGAGGGTTTCCCGCACGGTACCGATCATTCATTCCCACGGCCATTCCCACGGGAGCATCCCGGCGTGCCGAGTGTATGCTAATGAGGGGTGACGTATATGCTAATATATTTACGTGTATGCTAATGAACGATCAACTGTATGCTAATAAGGGCCGCTTATATGCTAATGAGGGGTCTCGTATGTTAATGAGAGGTCATGTGTTAACGAGAAGTGTCACGCCCGTGTTAATGAGGGGATTAATTGTATGTTAATGAGAGGGGTCACACGTGTGCCAATTAGCGCGGGGGTGTCAGGCAAAAGGCTTCGCTGGGGTTTGATCTCCACGATAAAACACCGCTGTGTTCCGGACGGTGACATGAGCGGTGTCCCCTCTGTCCCCCCGAGGGGTCCCGGCCCGGTGTCACCGCTTTGGGGGGCACTGCAGGGACAGGATTTGGGGGGTGCTCACACTGCACTGCACAACACACCCGACCAAACCAACACCCGCCTGGGGGTCACTGGGGGTCACTGGGGGGCACTGGGGGTCACTGGGGGCCAGTCCTCTCCTGTTCCCTCTGTCTGTCCCAGCTGCCGTGGAGCGTTTCCCTGCTGACCCCGCAGTGCCGTTCCTCGGGAGCCGGGAAAGCTGCGTTCCTATGGAGAAGCCTCTCCTGAAATGCTCCAAGAGATCCTGCACAGGCAAAGTGCTGCTGACTAAAATGAACTGACTGACTCGGAGACAAGTCTGAGAGGCTTTGAGTGGTCTCTTTTCCAGTATTTTCCAGCTGTTTGGTACAACAGGCTGCCAAAACCCCGCACAGGGAATTGGATTCCCCACTGGAAAACTTCCTTGTCAACCCAGCAGTCATTTACAAGTGAATGGGCCGGTGCCAGACTGATGGGGCACCTGCCCTGCTGAAATCCTTACAGAGCTGAGGCACAACAGGACCAAGGAGAGCTTGGAAGTGCTTTAAATTTTCCTTTCAAAGCCAATTCTTTGTGCTACTTAACTCTGGGAAAGTGGCTTGCAGAGCTGGGGGGAGAAATGTTAATGGGGAAATGTTAACGAGGAGGTTCCTGCCTGCAGGAGACCCAGTAAGAGAAAACAGTCCCCGTTGTAAAGAATAGTTGTTGGTAGTTTATTTACAACAAAATGCAAGGGAAAATACAATATTAAAAATAATAAATAAGTCGAAAAAAACCCCAGAAACTAAGTGATAAGAATGAGAAAAATGACAGTCAAATTGTCCTGCTGAGCCTTGCACTATTTAACAGGCAGAGCAAATCAAGACTTGGTCCTTCTTGGATGGTGCTGATGCATTGCCTGATGTTGCCATCAGTGCTCTAAATTAAAGAAATGGATTACTGGACACACAGAATCCTGTGGAATTATCACAGAAATGAAATAAACCAACGAAAACCTGTTTTAGTGACACCACAAAACTACAGGAGAGCGGAATTCAATGACCATGCTGTTCATTTAAAGCAAAACATTGTTAAGACTCGTTTAGCAATTTTAACTTACACAGAGAAAACCAAGTCCAAACAATGGCAACAGAAAAATCTCCTATCGACAAGATCATGAATTCTCTCTTACTGCACTCACTATTTGATAAAAAGCATATACATTTGGCTTATTTCAAAGAGTAACACATCAGTTTGGAGTTATAGTGCAGCGAGCTTCGAAGCAGTTCTAACAAAGTACAGCGGTCCTGTTACAAACTGAAACCCAAGGAACAAATATTTCGGTTTCAAAGTCTCTACAGCAGCAATTAATGCAAACTGGCTACTAGATGGCACGAAATCACCTTCCAGAATAATCAAAAAAAAAAAAAAAAAAAGAAAGCCAAAGAATATTAAAAGGTCAAATAGTTTCTTTCCATAGGATTTATCCAGTCATTTACAAAATTGACCATTACATTCATAAGAAGTCCCATTAAGTACGTGTTTCAGGAATGTGCTGCTCCTCACAGCCTTTCTGGGTGCCTCCCTTTTAGATTTATTAGCAGCTCAGCCCTTCTGAAGCTGCACTGAATTGCCAGTTGGTTTGCAATGGTTGTTCTATCCCAAAGACATGGAAGTACAAGCAGAGCTGGGAGCAGGTTTTTCAGAGAAACCCCAACAAACCAAGCACATTTTTTTCCTCTGAACTGTGTTCTTGATAAAAAAATCCCTTGCCAAGTCCTAGCAGAGCTGTCTCCTGGAGTTCCCGTGGCTGTGGCAGGGAACAGGAACACGGCTGTGGTGCCTGGCACTGTGCTCTGAAGATGTACTCAGTAAATAATCACAGCTTGCATTTCTGCAGAAGAGGTGAGGAACACCTACAAAACTCTATTTTAATCCTAATAAACATGTTGGAAAATACAACAGAAAGCACTAGGAAAAAGTCAGTATTGAAAACAACCCCTTTGCCTCGAGGTGTTACACTGAAATACTCAGACCTTCCTCCTCATTCCAATGTTCCAATCGTGATAACAATTAATAACAATGAAACCAGGATTAGAGCAGTTATAATCATGATTGTATAATCTGCACCCTTGCTAAAGTGAAATCATAAAGTTTTGTTTGTGTCATTAACAGCAGCTGCTTTTCAAGCAAACCAACCATCACCCATCAGGGTACCAATCCCTTGGAATTCCCAGCTCTGGGGAGAAAAGCAAAGCCAAGCAAGGACAGGACTGGGAGAACAGAGGAAGCCAAACCCACAGAGAGTTCCTGGATTTTGCTGGCTGCAGGATTGTCACTCTCAGACAAATACACACCTGCTTTCAGTGCAGGCTGGCAATGGAATTACTTCTGCTACTAAAACTACCCCCTAAATGCCACACATTCCACATAATTCCCTCTGCAGCTGCATCCACCCAGGAGATGGGTGCATTCCATCCAGGAGATGGGTGCATTCCATCCAGGAGATGGGTGCATTGCAGCCTCTGTGACCTCCTGCCCAGGTGAGGGGCTGCCCCCAAACTGATTGTTCAGTGTTCAGTGACAGCTCAGCTCTGCAGGACTCTCCTGTTTCAATCCATGCATCACTGTCAGCACTGGTACAAAACATCACCCGCTCTGCCCCTGCTCCAGGTGGGAGCTGGCATTCCCTGGGGATTGAACAGCAGCTACCAGGAGACAGGTCCTGCCAGCAGCCTCCAACCAGCAACTTGTGTGGGGGAGAGCAAAGTCAGCAGGGAAAGAGTCTCACTGAGTTCACACTTTGAACTGGAAGGGAAGAAGAGAACCCTCCTGCCACTTGTTTTACTCCTCCTTCCACAACCTACACTTCCCTCTGGGAAACATCCTTGTCTCCATTTGAATTCCTGAGATTGAAGAGTGATTGCACAGCCAGACCAGGAGGAGCACTCCTGGTTCCTCAACGTCACCCACAGTTCATTTGCTTCTTAAAGTGACTGATTTTGTCCCCCCCCCTCCCCAGATGATCCAGCAGATTGTGCTGTTCAGGAAAGATGTGAGGCAGGAGAGAAAAAAGAGCCTCACATTTTCTTCCCTTTACATCCAAGGTTTCACAGCCTGACTACTCCTCTTCTTCCAGCAAAGGAACAGATAGAATTCCTTGGTTTTGCTTCTCAACTGGCACATTTCAGCTGCTTTTTGTCACCCTCACTCACAGAACACCATTGACAACACCAGCAGGGACTCTGAGCTCACAAAGGGACAGGGCAGAGCTAGGAAAATACATTATCTACAAGAAAAAGGTGGTTTCTCTTACAAATTCTGTGCAAGATAGAAATAGTTCAATGGCCTCAAAGTCAATATAATTAATTACAAGTGGGGCTTTGATACAGTGATACTTTAGGACTGAAAAGATTTGTGGTTTGCATTTTAGGCCCCAAATCCTGAGTCATATTGAGAGAAATGTGAACCTGTTGGTGTTCCAGTACAATGAGTTACAGGTCAAAGGTTTATAAACACACAGGAGAAGCCTGAGAGTAGGAAGGATTTTAAAATCAGCTACAAAAGAAGAGAATGGGAGGTGTTTTTTTTCCTGTTAACCCTGCATTCGAGTTGGCACTCATTTGCCTCAGAAGTCCTTGGCAGCTTTACTAAATACCTACTCCTAATTATAAATGCTGTGACCTAGATGAGGGTTTGCAGGCAGAACTCTGCTACAGAAAGATTGATTTTCATTTCGAGCATCCCCTCAGACTTTTCCATGGATGTCAGTAAAGATGCACCATATGGCTTGAAACACTACTTTAGGAATACAGAAACTACATTCTCTTGCATGCACTTCTCAGAAGGTTTTAAGGATCGAGTCTGAGGAAAGAAGTCACCTTTCCACACCGGGAAGATTATTTTAAGCAAGAAAAAAACAAACCAAAACAAACCAAAAAGAAACAACCAACAAACCACCACGACCTTTGTAGCAACTGAGTTATGTCACTCTTGCTGTGGCAGACATGGCTTATCAGGAGGAAACATGCAGGGTTCATTTAAAAGGTTTTCTTGGCTGGATCTGGAAGAGTGAGAGTTTCTGGAGCAGATTTTTTCCGAGGCCGGTCTTTGGGAACTGTCAGGAAGTCAGGAGCATCTGTGGAGAGAGGAGTTGACGGAGCACTAGATGGAGCACTGCGGGTCGAGGAAGGCATGGAAATGTTAGAGATAGATATTGCCGGTGGGAAAACCCCGATCTTCTTGTTGGTGGCTTCCTGAGTGGCTCGTTCGAACTCTCGGACTTCATCCATTGTCATGTCTTCAGCGAGGGGGAACGAAACACAAAGGCACGTTAGAATCATTTCAAATAATTTCACCAGCTCAGTTCAACTACTTCCATCCGAATTCTAAATCGGGGAACGATGGCTTATCATGCATCTCATTAAGTGATTCTCCACGTGAATGCCCCCCCATTGTAATGCACTGACTGGAGCACAAAGAGCACAATGCAAAGGAAACAAAGTTTTAAGTAAATTAGTCACATCCTAATGGTTCTTCTACCTGGGTCTGAGCTGAATAAAGATTGCTGCCTCTGGAATCGCTGGGAAAATCCAGCTGCTGCACAGCGGGTAAACAGTCAGCAGGTAGAATTTTTCAGAACTTCAAGCAAAATAAAACTGAATTCTCGTCCTGCAGGTGCCAGAGCTGTCCCGGTGCTGCCGAACCCCACAAGAGGGCAGAGCGATCCCGGGCTCTGCCTGAGCCCAGCTCTGCAAAACTTTCCCAATGCGATCCCAAAGGATTGGCATCTGCTACAAACCGGGAAGCTGAGCGGAAAATCAGGAAGGCTCTTTGGAACCTGCTGCTCCACGCCCGCAGTGCCTGCAAGACGCCCACCCAGCCGACTGAGGGTTTGCATTGAATGTCACGGTAAATCCGTGAATTCGAAGTGTTTCGTTAAACCATTTATAGACTGAGCCCTGAAAGCTCAAAAAAATAACCAGAAATCAACCCACGAGGCTTTTCATCAATTTAGAATTCTTGCCCCTTTGGGTGTCTGAGGCACTGGATTGGCAGTGGTGGTGACCAAATGTACCACAAAGCCCTGCACTTCCAGGGCATCCACACTTTCCATCAGCACCCAGCTGCAGGCTCGTGTCACCCTGGCTGCAAACGTTATGTAAGAGCAGCTTTTTGTTGTATCCCGAGACGATATTAAATAAACAAAAGCGTGCACGTTGCCAGCTGCCTTCCCCCTTCCCTGCACCGACATTCCAGGGACCTCTCCAGCCCACAGTTCTTAGGAGGGAGGTGGAAGCTGCTCTCAGACCTGGGAATTGTGGCCATAAACAGGTGTTCCCAGAGGGGCTGTACCCACTCGTGCTGGAGAGAGATCTGAGCCTCTTTTGCTGCTCTGCACTTCATTCACCCCCTGCAGCAGAGTGTGAGTGTTCCTGCACTCCGGGGGTCCCAAAGCCCCCCCACACCTCAGGGAGCTGCTGCAGGATTCCCATGGAGGAATTCTGGACAAGGGCACCCAAAAGCTGCCTTGGAAGAACGAGAGGGGACAGGCAGGTCTCTCAGTGCACCGGCCATTTCAGTGCAATCTCGCTGAGTGGAGCCCCCAAGACTCTTCACTTCCAGTGCAGACATGAACAACCTGATGCCCCTTCAGTTGACTTCTGCTTTCTTGGCTCATAGTTGCTTTAACTCCCCTCTGCTCTGACCCACAGTCCAGTAAAACAGCCCTTACCCTGAGCTGAAAAGGCTCAGATTCTTTTTTTTAAATTCCATTATTGACAACTTCTGCTGTGACCTCAATGACAATTATTCCACACGGGAACCACGGACAACAGACTTCACTCAGAGCCAAATCCTGAAGTGTGGAGCCAAAACCCGAACTAATTCTCAACTAAGGAGGGTAACCTTGATGACAATGAAGCTGCTGCATTACAAAGACAAGAATTACCTTCCTGGTGACTACTCAGACAACACCTTCTCAGGCTGCTGACAACTGGCACTGAGTCAACACTAAGACTTGGAGCCCTTCAGGCCTTGCCCCATCTCGTTACACCCCTAAAACCATCACTGAGTTCCACAGAGCAGGGAGTAGAAATAAAGGAATAATGACATTTCAAAAGCAAAGACTCTTCTATCTGCAGAGAGTAACTATCTCTAATTTTAGACCTCTACATGTGGTGCTCAAGTTAGGAAATAAAACACTTTATGAAATGTTCAGAATTTCAGTCAAAGAACCTGCACAGAACCCTGCCCTTCCCCACAAACTGCTGTTAAATACTTCTGAAAACACTTCCCACCTTGTTGGTGGTCAGTCAATGACAACATTAAAATTACTTAGAGAAGAGTGAATAATTCATTGGATTCTTTTTTTCCTGGTGAAGCAAAGAATTTCAGCAGTCCCACAGCAATTTTCCACTCCCCCCATTCCTGGCTTTTTGACTGTGAACTCCTGCACTTTTTAACTATTTAAAGAACAGGAGGAAAACTCCTCTTTAACTTCCTCTTTATGCACCCAACTGAAATTTGAGCATCGTTGTTTTCCTGGAAGACAGGGAGCCCAACCCCACCCTTCCTTCCATCAGTGCCAGGTTGAAAGTGCAAACCAAAGGCAGGATTGCACTTCCTGGAGAAAGATTCTGTTCCTGCTGAAGCAAAACCTCCCCAAAATTCCACTGGCTGATCAGCAAGAACCAGCTGGTTGCTCTCCTCTGGTCTCTGCAGGTGGATTAGCTGAGGATGTTTTAAAAGTGGACCTACTCTTGCTTTGCCATGGCTCTCTATTTCATCCACAGCAGATGAATGCTGGTTGCAAACTTTAATGTTGGTTTTTTCATGCATATTTTTCTCGTATTCTCGAACATCATCCATAGTCATATCTGTAAAAAGTTCAAAATTGTTTGGCATTTTCCACTGATTCAGTGCAAACTTAATTTTTTTTAATATTATTATTGCTATTTCTTTTATCATTTTATTTTTTTAAGGAGAAGGTTCTAGGAACACAAAGTCTTTCAGCAGAAGCCAACAAAGGATTTTTTTTAAAAAAAGCAAGGAGCAACTAGCTTTATGAAAATTGCCTCATAAAGGTAGTTGTGTCAGCCAAGGGAGGTGCAAGGAGGTTGAGTCAAAGGGAGCCAGAGAACAGGAAGGAGTGGAAATTGTTTAGGAGTGTCTGTGTAAGGTAAGGAAGGCAGGAAGCACTGAAGTGCAAAGGCCAGGATCTTCTAAGGAGGTTTTAGAAGATCCCTTGGAATAAAGGAGAGAAAATCTTATAAATACTACAAATATTTTACTCACCTTGCCAGCCCTTGCAAAAAGATTTCACGTTATCTTCGCATTGCACATCTCATCACCAGCAAATCGGTGTTAGACCCACCCTCCCCCAGCTTAGATTGCAGCAACCAACACTCACTTACAGGGGGAAGTGAATTAATAGTGGCTACAATAAGAGTTTTGGAGCCTCAAGCAATTTAGTGAATTAGCAGAATTAGAAATATCCTACAAACCAGGCTGATCCCCCCAGCAGGATCCTTTCCCACTGCCCAGGCCTGGCTGGGGTGTCCAAGCAGCTCAGTCTGTCTCGTAACACCAGGCAATAATTACAGATTTAACAGGATTTGTCATCAACCACAACTCCAGTAAAAACAGAAAGAATCCAATAATTGACTTGTGACCTTGCTCTCCTGAGTATTCCCAGGCTTTCAGGAAATCCACTTGGGATCAGGAGTCAGAACAGGAATGGTGTGAGGATTTTGGTCTGGTCTTTACAGGGCTTTGGTAACTTCAGAGCCTCATAAAAACAGCCAGCAACTTTTTTACTCCTGGCACTTCAAGAGCCTTTTATTGGCACAGTCGACTTGCAAATGGGTGCCCCTTTGGTCCTGCACGGTGTGAGCTGCTCTGGGGGCTCCCATTTCTCCCAAGTTTATGATGTGCCACCAGCACTTGCAAATTCTTGCATCACATCACTCCTTGTTCCGTGCCAGGAGGCTCCTGCTGCATTTTGTGAGGCAGCTTTTAGGGAAAGACACAACCTCAGCCATTCTATTGGCAGCAGAGAGTCACAATTCACCAGGAAAAAGAAATGCAGTCTGAAATTTTGATCGAAAGGAAAGGTGGAATACAACTAATTCCTACTTTTTCAGTCTTTTACTGTTATTTGGAAAGAAAAACAAGCTCAGAAGCCGTGTCAGCAACATGCTGGGGTGCACTTTGCCAAGCAGAGAACATGCTCTTTATTAGTGAACAACACTGAGAAAATGGGGTTTCTTCATAATAAAGCTAAATATGGTTTAGTAAATTTAATGGCAAGACATTCATACTTACGGTGTCAGTCACAGCAATCAGTCACTGATATCCACAACAGAACACATTATTTACCACACTGATTATTTCATTCACTTTACTCCCATCATCTCCAGGTCTTTCTCAAACTTTTAATTTTTAAAGATGCTAAAAGATTTTAAAAATAAAATTTTTCATGCTCTACACCGAGTCTGTTTCTCGCATCTGTTTTAGCAAGGCCACATTTTTTAGGTGCTGTACTTTGCCTGATCATTAAAACTCTAAAAGTTCACTGCATTAGTTAACAAAACTCCCACAAGGGAATTGTGTACCACAATAGTTCAGTCCTTTTGTCAGGGTGATTTCAGAGATAGGAGGGGAAAATTTGTGGTGAAATGTTTTTGTGCTAAACTGCCCGGTTTAACTTCAGGGCTATCCATCTGTCATCACCCCAGGAACTCTGCTGAAGGGCAGCTGACACTTTGCACCCAGTACCACTCACTGGATAGATGCTCCAAGCCCTGTCCAGCCTGGAACATGTCCAGGGATGGGAGTCCACAACCCCTCTGGACACGATGGTCCAGGAAATCAACTGGAAATCTGCTGTTAATCATCTGCAGCTCTGCAGGAGCCCTCAGAGAGGGGCCGGGTTTGGGGCTCACTCACCGTACCACTCATCCACCCAGGCGAACGCCTGCCGGTGCCCGATCAGCAGGATGTCTCTGACCACCTGCGAACAGGGAAAGGGTTAAATAGCAACAAAACACCTCAGAAAAGTGACACCATTGTCTTTCAACACCACTGGCAGTGAAAATCACTGTGGCAGTTTTGTGTCTAAAAAGCCATGCCCTGGAGGGTCAGACGTGCTGGCTCGGGAGGGCTCCAAGTCCAGTCTCCCACTGGAAATGGATCTGCTGCCAACACTGGCTGGCCTTGGCTAGCATGGAATCCATTGGGAATGTGTATATAATCCATTAATCTTTGGGCAGTTGGACATTCTGCATCAGTACTTTTTCTTTCTTAGTTTTTTTTAAAACACGTGGAAGTTCAATACTCTGAAAAATCTTATCATTTGGCTGTTATGCCATTCATTAATTAATTGTTCAGTAGACTGGAAAACTTTCCCACTACCTGTTGGTAAGGAATTCTGAGAGAGGTCTGAAGTAGACTCAGCTGAGCTCCCAGGCCTCTCCAAAGCCAGAGCCACATTCCTGTGTGTGCTCCAGTTCTGCTCATGGGAAGGGGAAGAAAGGGCTCCTGTTTCACTGACCTTGTGCACAAACTGCTCTACTCTGGTCTGAAGTCCCCAGACTTCAAATTTCACAGTCACAAGTTTGTAGGAGCACATAATTGGCTGGTGGGTCTCTCTCCAGCCTTCTTTCAACTGGCCTCTCCCAGTCTTCTGTGACTTGAAATATTTGGGATCCTGCAAAACAAAGAAAACACCCAGGGAAATGCAGGTGGAGAAGCTGTGTTTGCCAGCCTGCTAAAGTAAATGTTTTGATAGGACATAAAATATTAAACCATGCTAACAAACCTCTTGAAAAATGAACAGGGAACTGAGTTAAACAAGCACTAAGATATCCTACAATCCAACCCTGGCAGGGAATCCATGGCAGGGTATTCCTGGAGATGCACTGACAGTCACATCAGCTGGGACGCTTTCTGCCACAGGAGCATCTGTTACTGCAAGTCATTGCAGTGCAGTGCTCTCCAAGGGTTATTTCTGGCCTTTGGAAATAAAAAGTGGCTTCTTCAGAGCCTGTTTTTCCACTCTCCCTCGGTGTGAATGACTTGTATTTTCCACCCACTCGTGTCTTCCTGAAATGGTGGCCAACTGGGCCTTTGACACCTCAGCACTGATGTGACCCTGACAATGCCACGCTCAGTTTGAAGGGAACTTGGACAGCCCCGTGGGCACCTCAGCAGGAAGTCCTCCAGTTTAGCCCTCTCTGGTTATAACTGGTTCATGGGCAAACACTAATTCCAACCCTGCCTCTCTTTCACAAACCAGAAAATCAAAGAAATTGGTGTTGAAATGACAACATAATTTCATAAAACCATTAAAGACATTAGTTCATCCTTAAAGTCTGTACAAGAAGCAGTTTTATCTATCAAAGTTTGATTTTCCATATTGGTATCATTCCAATTCCCTTTATGCCCAATCCTGCTAATTATATCTTGTAAATAGAAATAATTTACAGTTGAGCATTGCTTTTCAGAAGTTGAAAATAATGTCATTTCAGAAAATTCATAGTGGAGCTTCTAAAATCTCTCCTCAAGAATAACCACCAGTGCTCAGCTGGGTTCCTTCCCCAGAGCTGAGGTCTGGAAAGATCCTTTGCTAGAAAAGCAGTTGAACATGTATTTAAATCTGTGCTTTAATTATGTGCTATGCTGAAGACAATCAGGAGAAAAACTAACAAAAAATTGACCTTAATTTTCTTTCATTCCGTGAGAGCTTACGTATCATTCAGCATTCCTGCTCCCTGATGTTCATCTCCTGACTCGGCTTCTGCTTCTATCCCCAAACTGAAGCTCTGCCATTAAAGCTCCTCCACAACCCCCCTAACGAGGTGAGCAGTCTTTCCCCTCTGTGAAAGTCACTGCTTTAACTGCTGACACAGGCTTTGCTGAGTGGAGCCTTCAGGCTCACAGCACAATAAGGTTTCAATGTTAAATCACCAGAAGAACAATTCAGTGTCATCATCTATCAGAGCGACACCCCCCAGCTCGTGGTCACACGCTGCTGCCCAGCCTCTCACCCCACACAGCTCCTCAGGGGGATGTTTTCTGGGTGAAAGAGCTGTTTTCTGATTGATCCCTGCCTGAAGCAATCAATTAAATAATATTAATAAAAAAATAAAAAAAATAAAAAGGGAAGAAGTAAGACATCATAGTCAGAAAGATTTAACATTCTAGTAGGTGGTTCCTTGAATGAGGAAATAATTACAAGAAAATACGATTTCAAACATCCCTGCAAAATACTCCAAGTGTAAAATAAGTATTTCTGAAAGGGAAAATAGTTTCCTATAAGGCAGGGTCTGCTGTTCCTTGCACACACACAGTGCCTTGATTCAGCATTTCAGACACACTCTTTAATAACTCTGAGTGTTGCACTTTACATCCCTTCCGAGGCAACCGGAGCTGTAATGGAATAACTTCAGCGCGGTCCAAAGGGATTTAATGGAATCAATTTGAGTCAGGATCAAGGATTGAGACCTTGCAAATGCAAAAAAAAGAACTCCTGAGGGACTGCCCTGCCCCACTGCTCAGGCACAGCTTTGGTACCTCGGGGTTGCCTCGGTTTGGTGAGTTTAACCTGGCACGAGGGGCAAAGGGAACTGGAGAGCTCAGTCTCTGGCCCATCAGTTTGAAGGGCACAAATGGTTGAGAGAGGTGAGCTGTTATGGTTGTTATCATCACTAAAAGCAACAGCACTGGGTTTATCTACCCAGATGCTAAAAAATTAGGTGTTAAAAAACATCTTGGACTGTTTTAGCAAGGCACAGATTCTGTCTCAGCAATTGCTGAAGCAATTGCTGAGACAGAATCTGTGCCTTGCTAAAACACTTCCTGTTCATAGCAGGAAGTATTTAGGAGAAGAATCTCTATATTTTTCTCTATATTTTGCATGTATTTACACTATTGGTCACAGCCATGGAGAACCTGCCATGCCAGAGGGACCTTGGTGGGACCAGGACTGCTCATCTTCTGCTCTTCAGTGCTGCTCCAAAGCCCCCTGCAATCAGTGAGAAACTGAAACATGAATGCCTAACTCATTCAAATTGCCAGACTGGGACTCACAGCCTGGAATCCTTTCTGCAGTTAGGCCTATAAAGTCCTTCTAAACCAAAAAAAATGAAGCAATAAGGCAGGGCTGATAATTTTCTATCTAAACCAAGCAGAAATTACATTGGTACCCAGCAAATGCTTCTCTAGGCAGGACTCGTGGCACAATATTTGAAATATTTCTGTCCATGACTAGAAATTGGGCAAGCTGAGCTTTGCTCTGGCCCCAGTTCTGTGTTGTTCTTTAGATAATTAATTTTGTGTGTGCCTTATTTTTGCTTTTAGCCACCCATGCCCACCTTCCTGGAGAAGGTATCATCCAAAGAATACTGAGTTCTATCCACTATTTTCCCCTTAATTTATCTACTGGCAAAATCCTCAATCTGTTTCAAATGTAATGGCATAGCTAAAATCTTTTTTGTTTAAATAACCTTCTCGTCCTTTTATCAGACACAATTTATTAGGAAAGCCCATCTGGCAAATCCTTTTGCTGGAGGAGCAAAACCTCCTCTGTATTTGCAATACATTATTGCCAGGTGCAGAGTGAATTAAAAATAGCACTTCTGCCAACAGAGCAGAAACATCAGAACCCACGAGCTGGGCTTAGTTGAGAATAAAACGTAAAATTACAAGGAAATAAAAGCTCCAGTGTGCTGGGTATGGTTTCAAACCTAGCACTGTCCCAGGGTTTATTACTTAGACCACAAGTCCTGGCTCCTGGTTATTGTTGTAGAGTCTATTATTTAGCATTTATTGGCTTAACTTTCCTCATGGCCTGTGGACGTCACGGGCATCACACATGGAACTGTCACCCCCCCCTTTCCAGGAAGCAAACACCAACACTGGCTTGTTGCAACAACTCTTCAGAATTCGTTCTGTTAAATGTTACTTTGCACTTCAAGTTAAATAATGAACCCTATTTGAGTTAAATAATGAACCCCACTTGTTGTTCACAGAAAACCTCCCAATCCGCAGGGCCACGTCTGCCCCTGGCTCTGCCCCGCTCTCACACAGGATTTGGAGATGCAGCCCTTTGGCCACACCTTGGGAGCCTCTGGGGTCACCTTGGGAGCCTCTGGGGTCACCTTGGGAGCCTCTGGGGGACACCTTGGGAGCCCTGTCCCCCACCTGCCTCGCCAGTCCCTCGCTGCTTGTGTGGCCATTTCAGCCTGGCCAAAGGTCCCGCAGCTGAACGCGCTGCCAACCGTGCCGTGCCCGTGCCATGCATCCTGTTTTCTCACTGGGAGCGCCCAGATGTCCCTGAAACAGCTCCTTCCTTCCTTCCTTTTAATGCCTGGATTAATTTTTTCAGACTCCCCTTGCAATATCGTGGTGCTTTTGAAGTGTGGTCAATTTTTCCCCCTTTGAGCTGAAGACCGTTCTGTTTGATCTTGAATTTCAGACCCAACCTTTCATGGGTTTAATACCTGTGATCTGGCATTTCAGCATCAGCTGGAGTTGCCAGGTTTTGGATTTCAGCTTTTACAGCCAGGGCTCAGGAAAGATTTGTTGATGTAAAGATGTTACTGTAGACATTTATGGAGAGTCATTTTTTTAAGGGCTCTTTTAAAAATTTCCATTAAAACGTATTTTCTGGAAGAGCCAGCTAAATACTTGAGAACTGTAAATATTGGGACAGTGATAAAATATGATAAGCCAGCCAGGTTTATATAAACTCCCAACTGAAGTGAGTAAGGAAAAAGGAAACGTTCGTGTTTTTGCAACATCCTGCAGTGAACTCCTGTGCTGACACGGTGCCCACGCTCACTGGGGGGCTGAGGCAGCTGGATTATTTCAGCTACTGTCACTCTGTGATGTGACAGAGGTTGGGTCACTCTGAGAGCACCTGGACTGTGCTAAGCTGGACGGTGCTGCTGTGCCAGAGGAGAAAAGGCAGCAATGGCAGAAGGAAACCGCAGCAGCTGCACGAAATCTGCGTGTTTGGAGGTAGCCTGAAAAGTTTATTCCATTTGTCCAGCTCTCCGTTGCTTTGTTATAAACAGGAAATGAAACATTGTTAATTCTGAGAACTGGAATATGTTTGCACAGAACATTTTGCTCAGTAGCTCCCAGCTCCGGTAAATGTTTCATTGTGGGAATGATTCACTGGAGGCTCTCGCTCCTCAGCTCGGCTTCCTTCTTGCTGTAATTCAGATGAATGTGTCTGCCTGTATGGGGAGTACAGGATGGCTGGTGATACATATTCATGGCTGGTAAAGTCACGAGGAAATGACTTTATAAAATGTACAACTACTCTCACCTGCAGGCTGGGACACGCTCTGTGCAGAACCACAAAACTCTGTACTCAGTGCAGCAAGCACATTCAGATTTGGGAGCACACGTGGCTCCTCCTGCCAGCTTGGATCCACGTTCCAGCTTACTCCATTTGGAACCTCCAGTTTAAACTCTTTAAAAGTGTAAGGATTTTTAGCTCCATGCTTGTAGAAAACACCTCTTGTATTTAGGACGTGGCTCCTTCGCGGTGGAGTTTGTAGATGGGCACGACGTTAAAATGAAGTCACCTGCTCTGGGACCCGTGAATTGCTGCCTTCTACAGCCTTCTGCAAGGGCAGGAATGAGTCCACCTCCACAGAGGACAGAATTGGACTCTGTAAGTGTTTGTAACAGCTCACAAAACTGCCTTCTGATTCACTGTTGACTCGGTGATTTCGGTCCTCCTGCACTCACGCTGCCAGATAAGCCCTTCAATCCTTGAGGGAATTCCAATCACTTGGATGATTCTGTTCAAGAGATCCCTCAGCATCATTGGCAGGGGTTCCCTTAAAGTGTTCCTCAGTGAAACCACAGCTCTCCTTAAGCCTCCAGCTAACTACAGTCTTCACTTTTCAATTTCAGTTAATATTTAGAAGGAGAGAAAAGCAAATATGCACAAAGTTGAATTCAATCATTTCCCTTCAGCATTTTCATGGAACACTTTTCCTCCCTCATCAGTACCAGCACCAGTCAGAATGAGCTGTGCCATTCAAATGCAATATTACACTTATGAGGGTGGTTTATACATTTTGTCTTTTGGGGTGTGAATCATTATCATGTAAATGAAAATGGAAGGTGGTGACTGTCCCTTTACAATCAGGCTCATAAGCCCCAAGCCAGAGCAAGCAGTGCAAGTGGTGTGGGAAGGGTTTAAATTATTTAAGCCACTCTCTAATATGCAGTAATACAGTTAAAGAATGACATTTGCTGTTAAAAACTGAAGTATATTTTTAATTGAAGAGGGCTGAGCTTTCGTCAGGATGTAAAGCAATTTAAAGCTCATTTCCAGAAGCTGCCAAACACGCTGACCCTGATACAGAACTTGCTTTATTTTAAGCCTGTGAAAGAGCCCCTGAAATGGAGGGATTACTGAGATGCCTGAAGTTAAAATCGTTCTCATTGGTCTTTCTGGGTGGGAGTCAGGACATTTATCCTGTTGGATCTAATTGGTAAATCCTGAGGATTGCACTTGGCCTTTAATCTTTAAACTTAGTATCAGTTCAGATTACACGACCTAAAAGCAGCCAAATTGTTGTTATTAGTGCAACTAAAATACATTTCAAAAGCTTACCCTAACTGGGCTTAGTTATCTCTGAAGCTGCTCTTTGGGAAACACAAACCCTTTCTCATTTGCATGGAATTACTTTTTCATGCTGTTCTGATTGAAAACAGCCGGAAATTACATTTACAAACATTAAAAACCTTTTTACAGTGCCTAAATTATGTAAGAGGCCTCATCACAAATGGGGATTTGGCTTCATGTTCATCATAGGGTAGCACAAAAAACCCCATAGTTTGTAAACTTTGGAAGAGACACTATTTTCGAGCATTATTAATTCACTCTCAATTACAGCATGTGCACAGTTAAATGCTAAAGGTGTTCTCGCTGTTCTGCATGAATTCTGAAACAGAATTTGGTAGTCAACAGACAAATCATCCATCAGCACAGAAAAAAACAACAGATGCTGGGCTATTTTTGTTGTTTCAACCCATACAAAATTCCATTTTGCTTGGAATCGGGTCTCTGGATTAGTCTTGGAAATAACAACACAAAGACTCTGAAATTCTTTCCTCCCTCAACCTGAGGCTGGTTTTCTATATCATGAGGTTAATCTGATGGAAATTATGCCTGATAGATGGCTTATCAACAACAGGCAGGAAAGTTCCAAAATTAGATGTCACCTTTGTGTTTATAAACTTTGGAATTGCACTGGCTGAGATGGAAAAAATCTCACATTTCTTTAAAGCACAATCAAATGCTGCCCCATTCCACGGCAGCTCATTCCTAAACGGAGCGAGAATCCTTGGAGTTCTGATAAGACGATGGGACCCATAAGCTGTTTGATGAGGTGTTATATAATTTTTGGTACTAAACAGATGGGTTTCATTATCTAAGGAAACCAATAAAATTACATTTCATTCTCCTGGAGACCCAATTTTGGTTTATGACCTGTACATAACATTTGGAAGAGGATCTATAAATGGAAGATAACATGTACTCGCCTTTTTTAGTCTGAAAGTCGTGTCTCCTATAGGATGGAAATACATTTATTGGCAAGCCTTCACTTTTTATCCTAAAAATGATCCTGTAGTCTCGTTTTATACAGTCAAACAGCTGCCACACTCACTGCCAGCTATGAATATAGACTTGGCTCCGGAGACAAATCATATCTCCAAAATTAAATGCGAGCACAGATCCCATCGTTCCTTCTCGAGCTGCTTGTTGTGAGCCATCGTTTTTCAACCCTGAGATTAAAACACTGAGAGACCTCATCTTCCTCTGCATGGTGGCTGCTGATTTCAAACAGTGAATTGCATTGACCCAGAAGAAGCAGGCTCTTCAGAGACAGGCTCCATCAAATATACATGGGAGCAACTTCCAAGGGAATTTTCGGAGAGTGGCTGCGCCGGCTGCCATTGATGTTTTTTGGCAGATGTGCTGCAGTCTGCAGTGTGCTTCAGTCCCTCTTGGTCCCGTGTCATCACTGTGCACTGCTGTCACTGCAGAATATCTGCCCTTTGCTGGGCTTGGGCACTTTGTGCCACTCACACTTGGGGTGGGATGCAAATAAGGCCGACAGGGAAGTTTCAAACTGCTCAGACCTGCAAACTCCTCTCTGAGCTTCACCATTCAGAGAAAAGGCCTTTTTCTATTTTGGATTAATTCAGCCGAATATCAAAGGTCTGGCACAGGATGTTTCCTGATAATGGTAGGGAAGCATTTCAAAAGGAATCATCTGCAAAGGAACGTGTCAGGCAATCCAGACGGAGAGGCTGCTGCTGCTTCCCCTCTGGCTTTTGGAATACCACTGACCAGCAAGATTTCAGACCAAAATAGAAACAGTTCTGATTCCTATCCAGGCTTTTCTGCAGCCTCTTCCCTTCCCTTCCTCACCACTTCACAACCAGGCTGCTCTTACCTCCGATTCCTTGTAGTAGCGCTCGGGAATTTCGTCGCTGGCGATGTCGATGAAGCAAACCTCGCGCTCCAGGTCCTTCGCTTCCTTGTCAAAAATCTGCAAGAGTTACAGAAATGCAAGGCTGTTACAGAACAACACCCTCCCAAGAATCCACCTGCAGTGGTGGTTACAAGCAGTTTCAATGACCTGCCACAGAATGTATTTTTGGCTGAACTGCCTCAGTGGAAGCTGCAAGCTGCCCCTTTCCATCTGTGCACACAGAGCTCGTCTTCATTTCCATCCTTCAGGACCTGCTTTGGAACCCCAAGTCTCTTGTTCTGTGCAAGGCAAACGTTGGGGATATTTTGAAAATCCAGGTCATTTGCAGCTGCAGCACAGTCTCCTTCTGTGCCTCTGTCCATAATTTAATTATTTAGGCACCTCGGTGACCCATGTGACTTGCACTGTGTCTGCAGAAGGTTTCTCTCATAATTCTGAGAGGTGGAAATAGTGCTGAGCTAAAGGCTGCCATGAATCAGTGCCATGAAATTCAGGGAAGCTGTGCATCCACTGTCAGGATCAGTAACAAGCTCATGATGTGCTTTTTCCTTCGGGGCACAATGTTCTATAGCTGACATTTCCAGGAAGCATAAATATTTTTGTTTTCCTTTTTTTTTCCCCCCCTCTTTAAATAAATGCAGTGAACGCTCTGCTGATTTAATTTCATTTAATTTCATCCTGGAGGAACAGTTAAAAATACAAAATGCCAGCAACTCTTTAGTAACAAGAATGCTGCTTTATTATTTCTGAAAGCAATGCAGCTGCCCATTTAAAGCATTTGAAGTGAGCAATGGACTCCAGTGAACACAGGAAGAACCAGCTGATAAGAAGAACATTGCTCAGGAAATCGTCATTCAAATCCAGGAAAAGCTGAAGGCTGACTCTAAAATTTTAACTTGTCCTGGTAGTGAATGGAACAGGCAGCACTGAATGTTCATTGAGCTGGATGTAACATGTTCACACATCTGACACTGCAGAAGAACTGAAAAAGAGAAACTACAGCCTGGTTTTATTTGTGTGCTTGTCCTCCTTCTCCAACCCCTGTTTTCCAAAATCGGTGCTGATTATTTGAACAAACTGGAGCTGGGAGGTCCTTCCCCTGGAGTGCTCTGAATTGGGCACACTGATGTAAATCACTGCTGGGTTTTATATATGTAATATAGGTCGCTTTTTCTAAGCTTCTTCCCTTGCTTGTTTCCTAAACAAATGCAGAAATACAGAGCAGCTCGCAGTAAGTTGGACTATTTCTGGAACAAGATCCTTTTCACCATAATCTCCACAAAATAATGGAGATTGCTCTTAAATGGACATTACCAGGTCAGCTGAGGCTCTGAATCTGTCCATGCTTTAGGTACAAGCCTCAGAAATTTAAGCACATGCAAATCTCTGCACATTTGCAAGGCCCTAAATGGGGATTATTACCCAATATCTTATCCAAAGAAATGTGCCCTGCTCTGTCCCAGGCTTGCTCCACATATTTCACCTCATTTAGAATATAGCTCTAAAGTCTTTTTCTCTCTTTAAAGTGCTGGGATGGAAGTGGGGATGACAGATGCCTTTGCCAATCTGTCAAAACCAGGAGGAATTTTTCAGCCGTTCCAACGATGCCTCATTTGCTGCCCAGGCTGTCTCTGACCATTCCCTCTATGCCAGAACTTTGCTGAATGACGTTTTCCCTTCCCTTTGCCAGCAGAACTTGTTGTCTAATCATTTATGCTTTCCCCCTTCTCAGATTGTCCTCACAAGATTTGCAGTTTGAGATTTAATCTTCTCATTCTATCAGCAGTGGAAAATAAGAAGTCATTAGAGAACAAGACCGATTTCTTTCTCAGCTCTTAATTCTCTTATTGCCTCTCACAGCCACAGAACGTGGGATTGCCTGAAACCCTGTAGGGAGGACGGGTTTATTGTGGTTGTGATCAAAGAGACTGGAGAAATTTAAAAGTTTTGAGGGAAAAGATTAAAGGCCACAAAAAGAAGCAGAAGGCTCCCAATCTGTGCGACTGCCTTTGCAAATGTGCACAAACTGAAGGGTGAGAACAATCTGTATCCTGAAGAGGATGATGTAGAAAGGCAGGATATTAAATATTGTATTGGAAAGAACTGGACAGGCTTTCCATTTAGAAGCCAAGTTATTAATGGAGATTGAAATACCCAATCAAATGGGAAACAAAGAGCAACTTCCAGGCTGAAGTGTCCTTTTTGGGCTTTGGTTTCATTTGGGGGGGGTGGAATGGGACAGCTTTTTTACAACAAACATTTGTACACTTCCTCTTCCTGAGGGGATGGAACCTCAGCACGTCACAGAGTGGCAACAAGTGGGAGAAAGGTTTCAACTGGGTCTTTATGATTGCCAGCATTTTATTTTCTCCTGGTGAAAATAAAAAAAACAAAACACAACAAAACCAACCAACCAAAGCGCACAAAAATTCCCTCTGGCAGATGATCCCAGTAGCTCAGGAAAGACACCTCTCACAGGGCACTGCACAAATGGAAGTCCTGAGGTATTTACATTTCCCTCACTGCAATGACATGCCCTGGCACACCCTTGGCTAGTGACTCCCTTTCCCTGGTGGCCACAGCCAGAATAAAAACTCATGTTAGGAGGTGATGGGAAGTCAACAGCAAATTTAACATCATCTTTCCCACAAGCTTCTCTCTCGTTTTTCCTCTTTTTCCTCCCTTTTCAGGCTAAGTTACTGGCTTTGACTCCATTCAGATGTAATTAATCCAAAATTTAACTTTCACGGCCAATCCCCACCGCTAACCTGGGCTGGATATAACCAGGATAAACCCAGACCCTGCTGAATCCATCGATTCCACCCACACTGGCAAACTCCTGGCTCATCTGCACTAGCAGGAGGGTCACAGCTGTGCCTCTGGCTTGGCTTTGTTTTATAATACATGATCCTCTCTTGTGATGTTGGTTTTTGTGCCCTCAAGAGCAAAGGAGCCATCCAAGGATTACCAGCTGGAAAAGGTGTTCAGCTCTGTCATTCCACACAAAATGTTTTGTTTTTTTACCAGCCCAAACACAAGAGTTTGTGGTCAGGAGCCTGTAATGAGGCAGCTAATTCATGTTAGGGGTGTCATTGCAGCAAGGGCTGCAAGAATAATCCTTTTTTTCCATTTAAAATAAAAGGCACAAAATGCACTCTCCACCTTGAAATCCTGATCTCCTCAGAGTGCCATGGCCAGAACCCTGGCAGTGTTTGCTACAGCACCTTGAGCAGGCTGTGCCACCTGGGGCACTGCAGCTCTCCTTTTTCCCCAGGAAAATTTGGTCTAAACCAAAAGAACTCCCACTCAGAACTTTATCCACGGAGTTTATTCAGTGTGTAACTTTTCAGCAAGTCATGCCCCAACCTCTTTTACCTCCCCAGTCCCTTAATTTGCTTTAGGGATTTACTTGGGCAAAGATTCCAGGAATTGACCAATTTCCAACCTGTTCACTGGCTGCAACAATTTATGTGGACACACAAAATTGGGAGCAATTCTTCTATGTGGGAAAAGGCTGAACCTCTCTGTGAGAGCAGAAAATGTGGCTCCCTGAACAGCAAGGGAATATCCCTGCCTGCTGCAGAGAGGGAGAGGCACTCACATATTTATCTGCAGCCTTGCTCCCTGCTCCTTTAGATCTCCATGTCACGACTCCCCTCTTATTCCACCTTTTACACAGCATCTCATTTAGGTTTGCACTTTCTGGACAGAGAAATGGATTTTTATGTAATTATGTCAAAGTAGCTGTGCTCCCACGACCGTGATAGACTGTCTATAATATTTACTGGGATTAGGTTTTTTTTGTTTTAAAAAGTCACATCTAGCTCAAGTGCCAGATTTCCTAAGACACTTTCAGCAGTTCATTTAGAAAAATCAAAATGCAGAGGCACAACCACAGCACTTGTTCCCAGTCCCTGCCAGTGTGGGCCCTGCCATTTGCTCTGCAGTGGCCATATGTGCTTGGGACACACGATCTGCAGTTCAGCACAGAGACAGCTCCTCACACAGCAGGAGTTCCAGGCTGACCTCTCCCCTTGGGGGCTTCTATTTTTTGAGAATTATTAAGAGGGGGAAAGCTTTACAAAATCTCGATTTTTCATTGTGAATTACACAGGAGAAAATGGATATTTAATACCATAATACAGGAAAAGTCCAGGTGCAAATAAAACCACCCTCAGAGTGTCCCTGGCTTTGACTCTGCCTGGTTTTGAGTGATGCCCAGCAATCCTTCTTGACAGTTTCCAGAATGAGATCCTGCTGTGCAGTGAGGCTAAACCAGGGCACAGTTGAATCCTTTTCAGCTTAAATCAGTGTTTCATGGAAGTTGCCTTAAATAGTGAATTTACATTTAATTTCCATGTGCTATATTCAAGTTTGTTACAACCTACTTCCATGGCACTAAGACAGGAGATAAAAATATGGAAAAAAACCCACCCTAAACCAAGCCAAACTAGAAATGGATTTTTCTTGTGAGCTGCCATACCTAAAATGTATTTTACTTCAGTTTAATAATCAAGACCCAGCCACTGAGTTTTCCAGAGAAAAATATTATGCTACAAAGAGCAAGGCACTGGAAGTTTGACATACAGTGAATTTCCATTATTGACAACCTTTGGATTATTTCACAAGCTGTACTTTTTTTGCTTTCCCCAGACACTGTCAGATGGCAAAGACTCGCTGCCCAAATATCAGCAGCAATTAATTCCGTGACTAAAAAACAAACCAAACCAAACCAACAGCCATCAGTCAAACACAATCACCCCTCTGCAACAAACAGGAAAATGGAGTGTCTCTGTGACGCAGTGATTTGTGTCTGTCCTCACTCTGCCTTTCTCTACCTTCAGCTACAAACTGCTTTTCAGCCCCTTTCCCAGGGCTCAGAGCGTGGCATCCAAGGCAAACAGGGAGCTGCCGTGTGTGAGATCACTGAGCAGTGATCACAGCATCCCCTGCAGCCATATGGTGGCTCCTGTGCAATCCACACAGCTCATTGTCAGCCACAGTTGGGGCACTCCTCACTAAAGGTAAAAAAAACCCAAAATGTGTGTCCGTAGCGCACATGGAAATAGTGAGAACGTGAGATGGGGGAAAGTGAGAGCAAGACACCAATTAAGACTAAAATTAGCCCTGTGTGACACAATCACTGACCATTTTACAGATTGTATAAAGAAAACACCTGCCCCAATGAAAGCACAGATTATGAGGTCTGTTCCTAGGAACCAACAAGCTCCCACAACACCCAAACAAGCAGCAACTCCCACCCCTCCTGCCTGGACTTGTGACCATTTCATCCCTCAGGCAGCCTTAAGGATTCTCCAGGCCGTGCCTTATGGTTTTAATATTCAAAATACAGACCCTGTGTCTCTACATCCCAGTTCCCAAAGTGCTGGTTATCCTTAGGGGAAGGAAGGTGTGTGATTACTCTGCACTTTCAGCCTGCTCTGTGCTCCCTGAGGCTCTGCTGCAGCACCTGCAGCTCCCTCTGCGACCCTGACTGACGTCACGAGCTGGGGGTGCAAAGGGGAGCGGTATTTTCATGTGCCCTCCAGATCCCACCTCCCCTGGCGTTCACACCACACAAAACATTCCAGTTTTCAGAAATTCCGTTTCAGAATTTCAAACGCAAGTCCGATAAAAACAAAATTTCTCCTTAAATCAAGAACTTGGCTGTTTAAAAGGAAAAAAGAGGCAACACTGCCTGGCCTGAGTCCTGGGCCCGGTTTCTAACAGTTACCAGAGCTATAAACTGCAAGGGAGCAGGGACAATATTTGATGTGCTAACGTGTTCATCCAGCACTGGCTCTGTTTTTCCAAGGGGAGAGTTGCCATGGAACATCTCGTGTGATAAAGCAAAATCAGCTGCACCGGGCACTGACATCACAGCTGGATGGATTTGTGGTTCTGCACCACTACACGAGGTTTTACCTAAATAAAGGGCTTTATTATCGTCCACTGTTCTTTCTGTCAGTGTTTATGTTTGTGCAAATCAAGTGCAGACTCGAACAGATTGAGAAAACGGTGCTTTAACACATTTCAAATAGGTTAAGATGATAACAAAGTCAAAGACATAGAAAAATGAAGTTCTGGAGCAGTGATCATTATTGTTCCCTGGTATCTTCTGTCAGGACAATTAGGAAGGAAAATCAGGAGGACTTTTGCATCAAGACATACTGCAGTAATTTGGTAGAATTATACCAGACAATGCAACATGTTAAATAAAATAATTCCAATAACACAGCAACCTGCTAAATGACATCAGGAACCCGAGGCATTTATATTGCTTGCTTCCATTCATCACTGGAATTAGTTTTAGTGTCCTTATATCTAACTATTGCTTTTCACAATCAATATCTACTTTACCAGACAGCATGGAAATGAAGAGGAGATCAAAGATTCCAAAAAACCTGCATGATCTCCAAAAATATATGGAGAAATAGCTGAGTTAAAACCAGACATGCATTATTACCCTCATTACCATAACATTAATATTCATTTGGTCTATTTTGCACTACAACTGCAAAATTTACAGAATTATTTTTCTGGATTAATTATTTCTTCATCAGCCAAGGCTGATAGTTGCAATGAAGGAATATACAGTGTATCTGTGGAGAGCTATAGGAATGGATGCTGTTCCCAGTTGTTTTCTAGCCAGACAAACAGAGTGAAATTTAATCCAAACTTGCCTGACACGAAGGACAAAAGCACTTTGTGTGTTCTTAAGTGAAGTTTAAGCCTGCTCAGTGAGTAATGGAAACAAGATGGACTCTTAGTCCCAGTTCCAAGGTTTGGATTAACAGAAGTCTCTCCCTGTTTATGAACCTTCCAGCATTTCAGGGCTGAACCAGCCACGTCTGTGTCACCAGATCAAAGGGCACTGGCTCAGCAGCACAAAAATGCAGATATTCCACTGGTTTCTTGTGTTCACACAGCAAACAGCACAGCTCACAGAATTACAAGATCAGGGAAATCAGGGCTGCAGTGCAACTCTAATTCAGTTTCTCTTTCTCCTCCTCAGTTCAAGGAAGGGTCAATGAAATCTCTTCATCTAGGTAAACACTTGCCTAGGCTGTGACTCAGGTGCTGCAATATAAAGGTAATATGATATTCCCCCCCTGGCTCTCTGGGAAAAATGAGATTGGGAGAGCTGGATTTGAGCAGAGTAGAGACTCTTTGATTTACACCACCCGAGTATCCCACCCCTGTGCCCCTTTCAACTTAAAATTCCCTGGCTGGGGACTGTTCAGGGCTTGATTCACAGGATTTTAACCACAAGCTGACACCCTGAGGAACTCAGTGATTGAATAGCTTCAGTTTTCCCTCTGTCAGGCAGGAGCACAGAACGTGTTTGCTCACTGCTGACATTAGGATGTACCAGAAGACAAGTCTGCACCCTCCCAAAGCCAAAGGTGTGGGCTTGCTCTCAATGAAAGTGCTGCCAAAAAGCAGAAGTGAACATTAAATAGTGCATAAATTACATAATGCTCACATAGCTGCTAATGGAATACACTTCTAACTCACTCACTGATCTGGCTGAGAGCAGCAGTGGCTGAGGGCTGTGGGTATCTGCTGGGTAAATAGATGATCCCAGTCATGATCCCAGTGGGAAAGTGTCTGTGTGCCAAAAGCATCATTCCAAATGATACCTCGTTCTTGTGCCTGGAATTACTCTGCCATGAGCAGCTGCCAGGAAGAGGGAGAGGGACCTCCCACCTGCAGAACAGAACACCCTCCCCTCCCCAAGGCTGCAGGAGGGACACCTCCAGGACACTGGAAGGCTGCGTCTCAGAACCCTTAAAACCTGCTTTCCTGCCTTCTTCCTTCTCAAGAAGGAGTTCAAACACCCCTTCACTGGGGTCTCTGCATCACAGATCACTTTTCTGGACATTGCAATTTGTATTTCATGCCTACAAGAAACTTCTTCTCCCAAGTGTGCAGCCAGTGGCTGTTTAAATCAAACCAAAATGGAACACAGAGGAATGTATCTGTGTGTGGATCCAAGGGCTGAATCTTTAAACGTTGGGCTTTATTGGAAGTTACTCTTTTTTGGCAAGGTGTAGGACTCTGCTTTGCTCCACTGAGCTCAGCAGCTGCTGGATACCCACTCCCAGCCTTCCCTAGAGAGGATTTTAAATAGTTAATTGTCCTTCTCATCTCTAACTCTGGGTAAATGACTGCAAAAAGCATCACCTCGGTCCCCACCCACTGTTCCCCTGAAGCTGTTTACTGAGATCTCTGACCATTGTTTGGTTTCCTGTTTGCTCTTCCTGACACCTCCTTGGAATTCAACCCCCTTTCCCCACAGAGAATTCTGTGAAACAGATAAAGTGGAACACAATTACACCAAAAAAAAAAAAAAAGAGAGTAATCTTTTCTTTACTCTGCACAAACGTTCACCAGGACTAAACTCACACGTGTAAATTGTGTTTAGACAAGTAAGGAGTAGAAGGGGAGAGGCAGAAGGGCAGGTGTGTACACGGAGCTTTCATCTCCTGCTGCTTTAGAGGCAACTCCTCTGCAAATTTAGAAGCTGCTCAGGGCCAGAACACCCAGGGAGGGGCAAAGGCACAAACTGAGGGGCCTTTTCCCCAGACTACAACCCCCAGGTACACCCCATGGATAACTAAAAGGAGTAAATCTGATTTTGCACGAGCCACTGTACTTACACTGTCGTTGCTTCCTTTGTTGTCCTCGTACTTTGTCTCTATATGAATGGAGAATTTAGGCAAAAAGGAACACTGCAAGAGAAGAAAAACATGTTTAACATGAAAAAATACACCTTGTTTCACCAGCTGACATATTCAGTACAGCCCCTTCGGGATCAGCTTTCTTATTTTTTCCCAGATTACTTCAAGAAAAAAACTTAAAAGTTCACAGAATATAAAAGCAAAGGTTTTTATCATTCTGGAGGGATGTAGAGATTCTATCTAAAAGCTGAGTACTATGATGAAGGTATAAATAAATTAGTAAAGGCACTCTGGAATAACTGGACACAGTTGTTTCCATGCTCACTATGCCAAGGAGTTTGAATGTGCTGAATGCCTCGTTATAAATTTAATTCACTAAGATCTTGAGAGCAGCTTGATATTCCTCATCATGGATCAGTCCATATAAAATAAGCCAAGGGCACTTCACTACCTGCAGGTCCTGACCAAACAGACAGCAGTGCTTTTATGTGTGAGGGCTTTTATGAATTTTAGTGTAATTTCCTATTAATGAAACTAAGATGGATTATGAGCTGCTGAGGAAATTCCTTTACACTAAACCCAAGTAAATACTCAATAATGCAAAAAAAATTTAAGAACACACAAATTTTTTCCTATTAAATATAATATTTCCGTATTTCCATGGGAATAAATTTATTTTTCTGAGGACTGCTTAGCTTATCTGCCTTGCGAAGACCAGAATTTATAATACTGGGCAACATAATTTGAGTAAAGAAAAAATACTTCAAGTCTCTCTTATTTAGCATTTCGCAGTTTTTCTTTCAAAGCAACTTTTCCAGGCAGGCAGACAGAGCAGCTGTCCAAGCAACCCTGAAGGAATCCAGTTCAGCATCTTTACCATTAGTCACCAAGTCTCTGCTTGCATGAAGTGCCAGTTCCTCGTGTGATGCATCAGCAGTGCCTCTCTGAGGTGCTACACACACAGGGTACACCAGGAGGACACGGTGCCTCAGTGCCCACCTGGCTGTTGGCCCCAGTTTGGGCTTGGTGACACCGGGAGAGCTCTGAGGACTTGGGGAGGGCTGGTTTGGGAGGGCAGGTGCAGTGCAGCACAGCTGAAATGAGGAGCCAGCTCCCTGCAGACTGGGGAATATGTGTCCCTTCTTTCGTGGCTGTCACCCACCAAGTCACTGCTCAAGCTTCTCCCGAGCACAGCACAGCCAGCACCCAGCCAGCACATCCCTAAAAAACGAGGCAGAGAGTTTTCCCAAAACGAGGTGCCCTGAAAGGCAAACCCCGCTTTGTGCTATTGATTTGAGCCATGGCTGCAGTTGCAGATGAAATTATGAATAAAGCCAAATGCCAGATTTCCCTTTCCCCTGGCTATTAAAAAATCCCTGCTGTCTTCAGTCACTGCCTGGGGGTCACCAGCCATGAGTCGGGTCATGACACTGCAACTTTGCTGCCCCAAATATCGACCGTGACCTGCGCTGGGCTGACACAGCAGTTCACCAAGACACTGCTTCCATCTCCTTGTTGACTCCTGTGTGACCCAGGAGCTCATCTCTAATTAAAAACACGAGATCTTCTAACTCTGTATTTCAAAAAAGAAACACTAAGGAGTAGACCAAGGATCCTCAGAGCAGCACAGAAGAACCACAAGTGCCTTTTACCTCAAGCCACCTCATTAGAGAGCAGAGCCACTTGGTGTAAAGCCACCCACAGTCAGCCTCCCTCGTGCTGAGCACCAAGGGAGAGGACTGCAACAACCTAATTTGAGATTATAAATGGTAACACGGGGTTTACCCCAAGTGAAAACTCAAATTCACCAAAAAAAGTGACTGCACTGCAAATATATCTGCCCAGGGACTCGAGTGACTGGCAGCCACCGCTCCAGCAGCCGTGGGGGGTCTCGCTGGCTTTCAGGAACACACTTAGCAGGGTCCAAATTTTCTGAACATTTCACAGAATGTGTCTCATGATTCATCAGCTGCGCTCTGACTAATTGGCAGAAGGCTCTGGCAGAACCAGAAAACTGCTTATGCATCTGTTCAAAAGACTTATTATTCATCGTGCAAAAAGTTGTTGGGGTTTTTTCCCCCCCCTCCCACCTTCCCTAAAGTGGCCTCGTATTTACTTAGCTGGGGATTAAAATTGTTATGCAACAGTCAGAATCAAAGTGGGGAGTGAACAATAAGGTAATAAACCTGTGAGTAGACTTTTTTTTTTCCTTCCCAGCACTACTCCCTTCCTGCTCTGCCTCTCCTGGGGCCCGTGTTCTTCCAGCACAGACCTGGAGGTGATCGATCCCCACACACTCAGGAATGCACAGGGCACTGTTTCCAGCTCTCCATCTCACTGCATCTACAGCTTGCAAGGTTCCTCTTTGGAATAAAACAGTGGCAGATTCAGTCTTTACCTTGAAATTAAACTTAAATTCTGCGTAATAGTACAAAATCTTCACTGGTAAGGTGTAAAGCTCTCAAAGGAAGTCTCTTCTACATTGTCACCTCCAGATTTTTAGATGTCTTACAAACCCCTTAAAAAATTGTTATACCCCAGTATACCTGTGACACTCAAACCCAAACAAGGGCAAGGATCTGAGGGGCTTATTTGCTTGTTTTCTTAAACTCTCTACATTTGGCACCTCAATTTTGGAGGAGCTGAGAGAGGTTCAAGGCTCAGGAGAGCACTCAGTGCAACAACCAGCCTGTCCCAGTAATTACCACCCAGGAGAAGGGGCATTTCCACCAGAAAATGAAGGCAGTGAATGCAGCACACGGAAAGCACAGCCTGCAGTTGCATTTGCAATTCCCCACATATAACCTCTTGAAAAACGAAAGGCCTATTTTTAGCACGATGATTGATTAGCGTTGCCATGGCAATAAGCAACACTTAGAAGAGCAGGGTAGAACCCAAGTGTGCCAAAACACTGCCAAAGTCTTAAAGAGACAGTCAAACACAGGGTGTGTGACAGTGGTTTTATGGACAGGGCTGTCAGTTTAACCTTTGCATAGTAATTACACCAGAGGTGGCTGCAGGAATTCCTGGAGTTGTCAGTAAATATGTTGGTCAAGAGAGGTTTCTTTACCCTCTGGAACCTGCTTTGTGTGAGTGATGCCAGTTCATCAGTGCCATTGCAGCTGGTTTCATTTTCCACATGGTTTTTCTGTCTGCAGAGTGTTCAAAGACCTGCTGGAGACCTCACCCTTGCACTTCACTTCTCCTGCTCCCTGTGAATATTAATCCACAATCCTCGGCAGCTATTTTTGTACAGTAAAAACTAATCCCACTTTTTATTTAAGCAGCAGAAGCACATCCCCCTAAATCTTAACATAAAAGCCCAGCCAGGCAGACATTTCATGTAAATGTTCTCTCTCATCTCCCACCACTTCTCAGACTGATGATTTTTTTTTATAGGGTCACAACTACGTTATTTTGGCAACACAGGTGGAACTGGATCCTTCACAGAGCAATCTCTGTGGAACCTCCAGGTAAAGAACACACTGACTGCTACAGTGAGGTGAGAGTGGCCAAGGTAGATTAAATCCTTTTTTAACAGGGTCATTTCCAGATACCACACCCTTGGAATTAAAAAATGCTGGGCACTATTTTGCTCCTCGGTGGGTGACAACAGCATTTCTTTACCGAAGATCCAAAAACTGGTAAAGGCAAATGGAGTCCCTGCTTCTCTGTAAGCAAGGGGATGTGACAGCAGGGGGTAGTGGAAGGTGGAATATCCAAAGGTACAGGTCACCCACGGCAGGGAGCAGCACTCAGGGTGACAGGGCTGGGAGACAATGGATGGAAAGGGCTGGGCAGGGCGATGGCAGGATCAGGGAGATGTGACTCAACCAGAGGGAGGAGAATTGGTAAGCAAGATGAGCACAGGAAGGTGGCAAACAGCAAACCAAAAGCGCTGCTGAGCGGGAAGGGCAGAGAACAATCCAAAACCAGGGCCTGAAAATAAACAAGAGAGCAAAACTCATAAACAAGCCGAGAAAGAAACCCACTCTTTGTGTTCTGTACAATAACCTGGAGATGAAACAGTGAGTAACAAGTTGCCTCCAACCACTATGAAACTCTTCTCTCTGGCTTTGCCTTCCCTCAGGATCTCTGTGTTTGATGCCTGGGAGCAGGAACCTGCTTATTGAGGGGGAACAGCAGGGAGGAGCAGTGTGAACAAGTGGAAATGACAGTCCCATCCATCAGAGGGCTCTGGATTGCTTTACAGTGAGCCAGTGCTGGAAGGAGGGAATTCTCTGAGCAGTTTGGTTTACTTGTTTCAATGGGATTAAGCTATTAGATGAGAACACAGGCTTGCAGCTTTCTAAAAATATGTTATTTGGGGTTTATAAATACCACAGAGGTCCTTCCTGTTGCTGGAACCTCTAAGGGACACAAATCTGGGGTTTTTTTAGAGCAGTGGCACCAGCCTGTCTTCTGAGTTTGGGGGTGAGAGGGGAAGAATTCTGGTAGCAACTTCGCATTAGGCTCTAATCCTTCAATAAGATTCTGTTGCACTTTTGATGCAGGCTCTTCTCAAGCTGGAGGAAAGTTTATGCACTGAAGAGTGATGGGTTACATCCAAATTTCAAGGGCTGGTAATCAGGCAAAGAGAACACAGGAAAAAACTCCCCAGCCATGTTTATCTGAAACAACTATTTTCCTTCTCAAGTCATCTCATTATAAAAATAACAGTTACAAAAACCTCCCTTCCAGCTAATTTACTTCATGGATAAACCAGCAGCAAAGAGAAGCACAAAACATGCCTATTCTCAAAAGTAATCAGAAACCAGCAGGTCAGTAATGGACCATTTAGCAACTCTCACTCTGGGGCCTTGACACATACCAGATGACATAATTTTATTTTCCTCAGTCATTTGCTGCAGAAGAATTACTGTCATTGTGATAAATCATCAAAGGAATTGTTGTCTCCTGCTTTCTGTTCCATAACTGTTTTTCATAAACATTCTGAATTTATATCCTATTCCTAAGTTAATTTGAGACATTGGCACGTTGAAGGAATCCTCCTCCTCACAGAGAGTAAGCCATGCCATTTTAATGTTTATTTTGCTTTACATAATTATGAAACCAACAACTGACCATAAATTATGCACCCAAAAATTGTCCAGCTGTTTGTTTTTTTTTTAATTTCAGCCCCAGAAGTGAAATATTGCTGACAACACTGAAGCTGTTCAGGTCAGGCAGCAAATTCATCTGAAATGCTCCCTGGTAAACACTTGAACTGCTCCTTCAAACTCAGAAGAGTTTGCTTCAATCCTGTTTCTATTTTTCCAAGCCTCTTTGTGCTCTGACTTGAGAGCTAAACTTTGTTTGGCTCAGTCTCACTGCACTTGGATCATATGAAGTTTTTGCACCACGGTTTAGTCACCAAACCATTCGTGATCTGATTATTTGTTTGCTTGAGGGCTCCTCTCTTTTTTTGGTCCAGAATCTCCACTGTCACTTGAGCAGGTCAGATGGGGATTTGCTCTGTGCTGTTTATTTTCTGATTCTTATATCCCAGTGCAGGCAAAGAAGCTCAGTTCTCCACGATTCCTTTTTGTTTGGTTTGCAATAGGCACAAGTTTGCTTTCTAGTTAATTATTTCTAATCCAGAAAGAAAAATAACAAAGCCTCCTGAAAGTTCCCTCCTTCTTGTCCACCAAGAATAGCCTGAATATTTTCCACTCAAGAGATGTATTTGCAAAGGCTGTGATAAGCTGGCACATAAGGGGTTGTTGGGAGCTGCAAGGCATCTTTCCTCCATCCTCCAAGTGACAAAGGCCCCAGCCTAGAGAAGGAATTCCTTCCAAAGCCAGCAGCTTTCCCCCTGGGAATGCAGGTGGAGCTGGGCAGGAGGCACTTGCTGATACCCAAGCCCTGGAATCCCTCATGGAATGGAATCCATTGGGCTCTCCTTCCTGCTGTACCTCAAATGCAGTATCCCAGCTTTGTGATCTTAACATCAACCTCATCACAGCATTGATTGAACTCGTAGATAAAAATGAACCCTGTATTTTGGCAAGGGATCTGGTCAGGTTTCCAATGACAAGATCAAAACCAAAGCAGCTCCTGACTAACCTGAAGAGACTTTCTCTTTTGGGAAGTGGCCCCAGCCACTAAAACTGAACCTTACAGGGACATCCTATTCCCGAAATAGCACCCCCAAATCCGCATGACTTCCTTTGCCTTCAGCTTCCAAACTATTTTCTCAACTTCCTCCTCCCTCTCAACGTCAGCAGGAAGCTTTCAAGGATTATCTCCAGCTCTGAGACAGCATTTCTTGGGACAGTGGCCATGTGTCACCTCCCTGGTAGGAAGTCTTTCGTATGGCAGCTTTAAGGAGTTTCATCTGCAGATGCTCCCCTGACATGACACTGTTTCACACATGACACACCACAAAGGCACTGCTTGTGCAACAGTTCTGTTAAGCTCATTATCTCAACTGTGTCATCTGCTTTCCTTACTTTTAATATGGCTGTCAGTACTTGGTAGCAGCCACGCTGTTTGCTGTCAAATTTATCCGTAACCAGCCCCAGATTATTAAGGACTAACATGATGACAGTATAATTTCCATTCCTGCTCTCATGCCTCCAATTGCTCTTGGCTTTTTAAACAGCCAGTGCAGAGAGCAATACTCTGAAAATTATTTTCAATGCCCGGTGAGCACTTTTTCTTAAGTGTCCTAATTCCAGGCCCCCAGGAAGGTCATATTTCTGAATTCCATAATATTTCACAGGAGAACCAGGTTGACAGGATATGGGTTTGAACGCAATTTCTCACCAGCTGTCGTATTTTACAACTCAAAAGCCCTCCGACCATCAGCAAAATTCAGTCTGTTGTTCATCCTCTTCCAAATCTCTGACAGACACTGAAAAAACATGCTAAGCCTTCGAGGCCCTTCCCTCTGTTTAGAGTGGAACCTGCAAGGTTAATAAGGTGTGAACACACCACAGAGCAGAATGTGCTTGATAAGATTATGCTTGATTTATCCAATTATTGGCCTGCCTTTGGAATCACTTTTCCTTGAAGTGAGGCTCAATTTAACTCTTACCACGGTCCCCAGACCCTTTGGAGGGGATTTGCTCTCCCTAAGAAAAGGGTTTCCAAGCTGACTCATGCATTTTGGGCAATGCCTGTGGGCTTATTCTTTTTTTCAGAATCCTCTAATGACTAGAGAATATCAAAATTTAGAGAAACATTCCAGACAGGGATAGAGATTATTCCCAGTGGTGTATTTAACATTTTTGTTCTAGGTTCAACAGTTTGAGGCAGAGGCACTGTCTCTGTTTTCCATGAAGATAAATTCACAGTCCATCAGCTGCATTAAAACATACTTTAGGTTTTTGTCTGAAGTAGTTTCCCTCACCTCCTCCCAGTATTTCTGCTTCTGTTTCCTTGCACCATGGTGAGTAATTAGTCCCCAGCTCCCCCAGGCAGTTATCCTGTCACTTGTGACTGCTCTGCCTACCATCCACATTTGGAGACCAATTCAGTTTTACTTTACAAGTCTCTCCAGCCCTGCAATCATTTCTGCTGATGCTCCTGAACATCTCTGGAGCTGTTCACCTTCCACCACCTTCCCCCTTGCACTGAAATGTGTTCCAGCTGTGTTTTCATGGGAGTACACAGAGATCACCTCCTGGTTCAGGCTCTCTGAGCTGTTTGGTTTTGAGAATGTGTTGCATTTCAAACTCAGACATGTGTATTTCTGTCTCCCACCATCCCTTTTCATCATTCCCACTTGTCTCTTTCAGTTACAGAAAATAAAAAAAAACACATAAAAAAAAAAAAGAGATTTACTTTCAAAGATACAATGGAGAGACATCAGTGCAGCACAGCAAATGTCACCTTCCCAGCCTAAAACTAAACGTGCTCTCAAAGGTAAACCCTTCATTAATGGGAACTGAAAACATCTTCTGGCAAAAAGAGCTGAGAATTTGCCCCTCATTGCTACTGTCCATTCGGAGGCATTTGTGTTTCCTCTGCCAATCAAATGAACTTTAAACATGAAGCAAAGCAGAAAATGAAAGAAATATCTACAGAAAAGCACAGTTTGGTGCTTTGGGTTTTCAAACCTGGTCATCCACAGTTTCAGCTCTTGGTCTCCACCTTTCAGATCTGAGCCTTTAAATCCCTTTATTTTCACATTTATCACACTGAAATTTCTTTCCTCTCTTTATGCTTTCTGAGTTTTTGAAAAAAAAACCTGCATAAACATTTTGAGCACTGCAGAGTTAAGAACAACCAGTGGATTATGTTTTATCCAGAGACAGAAGTTCAGACTAAATCAAAGCAGGAGTTTCCAAAAAGGTCCCTTCACCTGGAATTTCCTCACCAGCTCCTCCTCATCTTCCAAAGGCTGCTGAAAACTTACTGTATATTATTGAGGCCAGTACATTTAAAACAGTTTTTCTCATGATTTATGTGCTATATTTTGCCTTAGCTCTGCTAGAGGGAATAGCTGATTTTTCTGGGCACTGTGCCCAGATTATGTTTAATTTTGTCTACAGATTGTACAGTTTCCCAGATACTATACCAGAGATGAGCATTTTATAAGTTAATAAAACAATAAATAAAGTAAAATCTGTTCTCATGTCTCCACGTAATAACTGGAACCTTAAAAGCCTTGCCCTGTTTTACAGAAGCTTCTCCTTGTTACAGTCAGTAACTACAAATATATCAAATTATTTCCAAGTGATAAAAAAATAAGGTAAATAATTTATAGGATCCCTGCAGAAACACTTCAAATTTCACCTTAAATTTCTGAAACAAATAAATAAAATAAAGTTACACTACTGAATTCATTATGTATTAGTTATATTACAAAGGAATCAGTTTAGAATACCACTATATTTTACATATTTTTTTCTATTTTTAGAATAAAAAGAGGAAGAAAAACTTACTGTGTATTCTGATTTCCAATTGTCCATTTGCAAAAAAAAAAAGAACGATGAGGGAAAAGAAGAAAAAAGAAGAAATGTGAAATAAAACAATGATGCAAGATCCTTACAGTAAACATATATTAATAATAAAGATTATTGTGTCAGTCTGCTGATTTCATTTTAGTACAGTCTGTGGGACAATAAAGGACACAAGTCACACAGAACTCAAACACCTGATGTTTTCTTTGCAAGGATGAAACTGCACAGCTACAACTCTCCAGTTTTTACCTGTCCTTATAGACATATCATAAACAATCTTTATTTTCTGGTATCAGCAAATATAAGGTGGAAAAATAGGTACAGTTCAAGGGGAGTTATTAAAGGAACTTGGCATCTACTGCTCAATATGCAACTTGGAGCTTCTGAAGATAAACTAAACTATCCCAGAATCACCACCCACTCGTCATTTCTGCTTTCATCCTTACCTGTGATTGTGTAAGGATAATAATTCCAGGCCTTCTCCGTAACATAAAATATTTTGGGAACAACTGCTCTAGCCCAGCTAGGCAGTTTGCTGCAAGGAAAAAGAAAACACGACATTAGAAGGCTTTATGACCTCTGAGTGCTGTGGGAAAGAAGGTGCTCGTTTTCTGGCAGGTGTTTCAGGGGACACAGCAGTGCCCAGAGTTACCAGGGGTATTTTCATGTTGTGTCTCAGCTTTCCCCACGGTGAAACTGAGGCTGGGGTCCCCTCCCCGAGGGAGCAGCTCGGTGCCAGTGCCATCACCTCGGAGCAGATTGAATGAGGCTGCAGATTTCGGGAATTCCTGGCCCCAGCCCTTTGGCCATGGCTGGACCCTCCACAGGTTGGTCCACAGCAGGTGTAGCCATGGGCTCTGTGCCCTCAACCACAGGGAGGCACTCTGTGACAAGAGCTCCTGAGGAAACCCGCATTCCAGTCCCCTGCCACCCCCAATCCTTTATTTCTTCTCCAGAGACTGTTTTTCCTCCCTCCATGTTCTCTGACAGTGCTCAGCCCCTCATGCTCAGCTCACCTGGCACCCAGTTGTTCCCACACTACCAGCACCAGCTCCTGGGTAGGAGGGTTTTCTGTTAAAATGAACAAATCACTCCAAAGCTGGGAGGCAGCGTTTGCCCCTCTCTGCTGATGGGAAAAGTAAATAACAAAAGGGAAGGGAATTAATGGCGCTGATGTCACAGCTCAGAGCTCAGCCTGCCAACAGAACTCACCAGCATGGTCGTACAAGAGCAGCAGGAGCAGAAATGAATGGATACAGCACCATTAAGGGATAATTAAATAATTCTGGGGCAGGGTGGGAGCATTCTCTTAGCATGGCTCCTGGGGCTCTTATTCCAGCACTCTGCTCACAGAGACTGATGAACAAAGAAACATTTTAATAAGGCAAGTTCACTGTTATTCCTCTTGCAAGCCTTTCCTAATGACATCACTGAGGCTGCCAGGACTGGTCACTCCAAGGCAGGAAGACCTTGGAGACCACAAATATCCCAGTTCCTGAGGGACTCAGTCCAAGCTGTTGGTCTGGCCAAGCGTCGAGAAGGTCACCTGGAGCAAGAGCAGAATCCTCACTGAACTGAACTGGAGGCTTCCAAACCTCCCTTTTCCAAGTGTAAATGTTTGAAATGGTTCTGTTTAGACAACTGTGTGCAGAAAGTCAATTAACTTTCCATGTTGGCAAATTTCTGAAGAAAGTACAGTTGGGATCATTAGGGCTTATTTAACTACACATAAATATTTTATCTGTCCAGAGGCAAAATGCAGAGTTAATACATCACCTACAGATCCAAAGCCAAGTGCACACTGACTTTTGCTCTTTGATGACATTGCTCAAAACTCCATTCTTTTCTTTACATAAACCTTTCTTGTGTACAGACTTTTAAGCAGCATTTTACCTCCTGCATAATAGACTTCCCTGTGTCAGATCTGTTTATTTTGTCAGCCTCTGTCAGTGTTTTTACGACTGCCTCCCTTACCCCTGCTAAACTTTACTCTGATGCCTAAATTATAAATACCAGAGGATGCAGAGACTTTCAGCTTCTGAAAACATTGTTCCAGCAGGAGAGAAGAGGCAGTAAACAATTCTAAATATAACTAAGGTTACACTGACACTCAAAACACACATCTGCTCATTTTGCACTTTTTTGGTTATTGTTTTTAGCATATTTGCCTGTCTGCCTATCCTCACTGGCACAGCACATCTTGATAGAAGCAATTTTATGAGCAAAACACATATTCTACTCAGAATTGCCAGTAAGTCCCAGTCACAGACACACATGAATTGTACCAAGGGTCCACTCAGAGAATGAAAAGATAATATTTCAGGTATCTGTGGATCACATGATCTATTTGATTTCTCTTATTTCTCCCCTCCCCAGGTGAAGTTCAGTCTCTCACAGGGAGAATGTGTTTCTTAAAGGCAGTGCAGCTGAAACCATTGGTGGGCAAGAAGACCCTCTGCAAGAATTAAAGTATTGGCAGGTAAGAAAAGACAACACAAATAATGCACAAGTATTTCCAAGAAACCATCACTGAAATAGAGAAGCTCACATTTCTTCAAGAGAAATCAGGCCAGATCAAAACAGAGTAAAGAAAAGCTCCCAAGTTTGTTAGGGCAGTGGGCCCTGGAAGGAGAAAAGCTGAGGGAGAGAAAAGCTGGTGTGAGGAGTCCTGTTCCTCAAGGAAGGCAGGCAGAGAAGTCTCCAGCACACCTTGGATGGAAGCATATGTCTTGGAGTGAAGCTTTCCAGAGATATTTTGGCCTCCCAACAAAAATCCACAGTGGCCTGAAAGCCTGCTGATCCCTCCCACAAACAGTAGTGTGATATCTGGTGGCACTGTGACACCAAGCCCAGATTGAGATGGCGAATCTAGAGCTGGAGGATTCACAGTTATCATTAAACTTGGCCAGCCTGACTTCACACATCCACCACAGCTGTAGGCTGTGGATGTTCTGAGAAGGTTTGAGTGGGCACTCAGATCTTCTTTGCTGGTGTTTGTACCCATCTTTGGCTGTAAGATCCTTTGTTCCACTGCCTGCACTACCAGGAACCACTTCCCAAGCATGGTTTGTTCGTGTCTTTTAGGTCCTTGTGCTTGTTCTGAATCACCCTAGAGTGGCAATCCTGCAATGCTCTTCAGTGCTTAAAGCCTCATTGCTTTTTAACATGCAGGAAAGAAATATCCAGAAACATTTTTAAAAAAACCACACAAGTTCTGGGAGCTCTACAGTGGGAACACGTTTATTGATTTTTCCCAAGTCCTGTACCTAGCCTGTGAGAGAACAGTTACAATCACAATAATATGAAATGGTGGCAAGTATACATCACTGGGCTCCTGTGTTATGTGTGTCTGTGTGCAGCATCACTGGTGATTGGATTTGGCTCAGTTAAGGGCAGATAAGTCAGGTGTGCAGTGCAGGGGTAACCTGCAGTGTAGAAACAACAGCGGGAGTGTTTCTATGCCCACTCCAAAAACCCTGCAGAGCACAGGTTTAATAAAATGAAACAGGCCCAGGGAGAAGAAGAACTTCAAAAAAAGCAGGGATATTCAATTAGATCAGCAGTAGTGAAAAAGGGAACAGATTGGGCAATATATTTCATAGGACATAAATCTATATATACACATGTCTGGCCTGGGAGTGTGGAGGAATCGATGGCTCAGCAGCATCATCATTTCACCAGGGAAGAGACAAGTCTAAGAAATGAAGGAACTTCGGGGGAAGAAAAGCAAATTTCCCACCCTGTCTTTAAGCCTAATGGTCCAGAAGGTTGTCATTGTGCAAGCCTAATGGCCATTTATAATGCAAATTAACTTTGCCGAGGCAAACTCCATCACCAAAACCACTGGCTTTGTGACATGATTCTGAGGTGAGAAAAACTTTAAAAGAAATTTAAATGGTTTGGGTTTGGTTTTTAATTTTGGCTCCTCCTCCCCAACATTTTTAGAAGGCAAAATGACAGTTAAGCGTAAAAAGAAAACAAAAGTTCTAATTTTCAGTACATCCTTAACTTCAAGTTGTAATTCCTTCTCTTGGAAGCAATTACAGCAATAATCCCTCTCTTTCAAACTGCTGATCTATCCCATCTCCCCACGGCCAGCAGGAAGCAGCAGGGATTCCTGGGAACACCTTCCACTCAACCAGAAAGGCTCTTGCCTGCAAGGGGCATCCCTGGCCAATTTTTATTTGCAACAAAGAGTTGGACAAAGAGTTTCATTGCACTTGCCTGTTGAGATAGACACGTTTTTCTGTCAGCTGCCCATTGCCGTGGTTGGGGTCTTCGAAGGGCTCGTTCTGCACCACTTCCACCCCCTCCCCTCGGTCACTCTGCTCATGGCTGTGCTTGCTGATCATGTACAGCTGTCCAATCCTGTACTGCAGAGCAAAACACCAAGAAAGAAGCATTAGCTTGATGCAGTGATGCAATGCTATGTGCAAATACAAGGTAGTTTAAAGGCAAAACTATTTTTGGGGTCCTCCCGTTGTCTTATTAAGTCCAGAGGATCACTTACATTTTAGAATAAAACTGTGCTTTCCCATTCATTTTCTGGTCTGAAGTTTTATTCTCAAGTCCTTTGCACATTCTTATAACAAACTGTCTTTGGACCTATCCAGTTTTCTCCACCTGGATCCCCCTCTCCCCCAGACCAATTTGTTTGGGCACATCCATGCCAATAACTTCAGTCACATCAATCCCTTCCAATACAAAGAACAACCTGTTAATTTAGAGACTGGCTGAGCTACCACTCAGGCTGCCAAGGACTAGCTCAGCATAAGCAAACAAAAGCACAGTGACAGTCTGACCTCAGAAAACTCTATGAGATTCTTGGGGTTACTGCATATTCCAAACAGCAATCCTATCACATACCTGAAAAAGCCCAAACCAAAAGAGCAAACGGCTTGGAAAAAAAAAACCAAACAACACAACAAACCATCACAGGCTTTATTAGCAACTGGCAACAGGACAGTCTTCATAAACACAGTGACAAGGAATAGGATGATGGAGGGTGCCCTACAGAAGTTGTTCAATTCCATATAACTCCAGTTTATTCCTCTGCAGCAGCCAGGCCACAAGAAGGTAAGAAATTCAGAACCTGCATCTTGCAGATCATTAAACCCTAACACTGTTGTACTTGCTAATCCAGTTATCTACCTTTGTCTCTGCTGAATCCTTTATTCCTGCCCTATCTCATCATATTTGAACATTTTGCCCTAACCTCCAGAGCTCTGAAGAGCTGCAGACCTCACACAAACCCTTTAACAAGATCCATGACAAATTGTCTTCCCTTTCTCACTAACAATAAATAAATGCACTGGTGCACAGGCAAAGCCAAGTTTGTGCACAGAGGTTGTATATTTGATCTGATCAACTAGTACAGCTGGGGAAAAGAATAACTCTCAGGCACATGAAGCTGTTCTTCAGGTCTGAAATCAGAGCAACACACTTCAAAGCTGAGTGCAAGTTGAGAAAAACTGCTTTGCCTCTAATTAGATATGTATCAATTAGACCCCCTGAGAACAAAGATGACTGCCTGTGGAGTGACAAGGATGGCAGAAGAGAGGAAAGGTGATAAGGTCCTTATCTTCTAATGGAAAGGAAGAGGTCAGTAATTTATATCCTGTGGAATATGAAAAGGTCAGGTGAGCAGAGGGCAGAGAAATTACAGTTTGCCATAAAGTCAATATTTCGATTGAGATCTCTCTTGGGATTTTTGTTACCCCATAAAGTCATGACTTTTAGTTGCCATGGACACCTCAGGAAAGTGTTTCATAATTGCACATATCAATTCCCTATTTCCATGTAGTCCTTTGCAATTCTGCTCTCAGCTTTAATGGTCAAACACAAACACCTCAGTTTCTGCTGGAAATTCTGGCTCAGAAACACCACGATGAAGGCACATTCCCACTGACAACTGACAGTGGGCTTGTACTAAAGCCTTTATTTGCTCCAGCATCGTGAATCAGAGATCCCCACAGAGGTTGTTGCTCTTTCAAGGACCTACATAAAAACGCTTGCATTTATGGACCTACCATAAAATGCTTGCAAAATATCAAACCCCCCAAGCCTGAAAATCAAGCTGAGCAGAGCCTGCACCTTCCAGATCAGGAGCAGGGCTGTCAAGGAGCAGCTGCTTTTCAGGTGCTGCACAGTCAGTGGTCAGAGGAAGGTTCTCCTTCTCCCAGGAGTCTCCAAATCGCCCACATTCCAATCATAGCCCAGATCTCCCAGGAGGGCTCCAAGGCAGCTCAGCAGGCGCCGCTCCCTTGGAAGATGCTGGAGGGAACAGAAGGCACCAGGAGCGGTGCTGGACAGCTCTCCTGCAGGAATCCCACTGCTCCTTGCCTCTCCACAGGCCATGGCTTTCCAGACCTGTGGATCTGACACCAGGCAGGCAGAAATATCCCCCTCCAAAGCCAGGTTGGTTGGATGGGGCCCTGGGCAACCTGATCTAGTGAGGGGCATCCCTGTCCTGGCAGGGGGTTGGAGCATTAAGGTCCCATCCAACCCAAACCATTCCATGACCTTTCCCTGCTGGAATTCTACAAAACATATTTTAAAGTAGCTAACTTAGCTCTTTTGTGTACTACTCATTTGTTTTTATCTGCTTCAGAATATTTCAAAATCATTCTGGAGCAGGATGGAAAATGTTAACTTCCAAAATAATAGTACTTCACTAAACCAGAGAGTACAAAACTGTTATTTCAGATAAAATAACATGTTTTAAAGTGCCTGTTTCTATTTACATGAATAAAATCCAAAGCAAAGACGTGTCTTTTAGAACTTGTTGGAATTTAAATGCCTGAATAAAAAGTCACAGCTTTCTCAAAGTTCCTATCGATATTGTGGAGAAATAGCACTTAAGGACCATTTTACAGCAGCAAATGATACTCATTATTCCTGCAAGGGTAAACTGATGCAGCACTATTATTTATGTTGCTCTATGACAATCTGAATTTACATGTTCTTAGCTGAAAGATAATTTCCCATCTACTGTTCCAAGGATTTCAGTAAAATTTCACGTGGTGCCACCTGACCTGAGTTTGGATCTGGACAAAAGGTCTTTGTTTGAAAATTCTTCTTTTCATAGAGGAAAATTTATGCAATCTCAGAGGAAGAACTTCAAAAAAAACCCCACAAGTGCACAGAACATGGGAGTTAGAGGTTTCTAAGGGTATTGCTATGTAGTTTTTGTAGCAGACTTGATGTTTTCCAACCCTGACGAGTGAGACACTGTCTGGGTGGTGACTCCTCCTTCAACAGGCAGATGGTGTTTGCTGTTGGGAGTTTAGTCAGACAAGAAACAAGGCTCATGTTAGCAACAGCATGATGGTGGTCAATCTGAGTTTGTTTAACATTACCAGTGAAACCAGAAGCTTTTTTATGCTCTAGATAGGAGGGGGAAAAAAAAGAGAAAAAATGAAAAAAAAGGGGGTCCACCCCACCCATCTCTCACTGGTCGAGAAGCAGAAGCTGCACAAGAAATCTTTGCACAAACACGTCTGAATTTTGTTCAGCCTGACTGACTATTGCTCAGGGTTTGATCTAATACAAGTCTCAGAGTGCAAACTTTCCAACTTCGCGTGGAATGTAAAAAAGGAACTCTCTCAAAGGAGAAATTATACCCCAAACTCTCTCTTATCTGAAATTTTCATACCATTCCTTGAAGCTCTTATCTGAATGCTCCCAGAAAACGTAACAGATTTATCACTGGCTTCGTCTCATGAGTCAATTCTCATATTCAAAAGAACGGCTGAACCCTTTCATCTGCATTTACTTTTCTATAACTAAACTAAACCATCAGGGATGGTGCTGCCTTTTCAATTGATGCAATTTTTTTGTTCTAACCAAGCAGTGAGATCCCTCCCTGCAGACAGGAGCTGGAGGCCAGAAGACACTGAGTGTCTTTTCTACCTATTCAAGGTAATGATTGTTCAGCTGCATTTCGACAATGGAAAGTATTTCTCACGCAGTGATTCATGCTAAAACATGCCAGTGGCTTCTACTCCCTTTCCCAGAAAATTGCAAAGGTAAAACAGGAAAAAAAAGGAAGAAAACCAGCACCAACCGAACTGAAACAGATCTGTACTTGTGCACGAAGGCAGCTCGAAAGGGCACGGTCCTGCCTCCAGTGATGGCAAGAGCTGGTTTGTCATTGACCTCAATTTAGTAAAGATTTATTTACAGCAAGAAAATACCATGAATCAGCTTCATCATCAGTCCTGTCTGTCCAAGGGCATTGGTTATGGCAAAACAGTAGCAATTTGATTATGGAACTCTGATTTATACAACGCTGCCTCGTTCATAGAAAACAATCTTAAAACTGACTGTCACATTTCTGATCTATTTTCAACTCACAGTCTTTGAAGACTCTTCGTGTTCTCCTTGTGAACATGCTCCAGAACTTCAGATTATTTTATTAAGAATTTTAATAGGAATATTATTCATCACTTGCCTGTGTTTAGAATGATTTTAAACAATTTCTGATTATTCCTCAAGGGACCACCACGAGACAAGCACGGTGATCCCCGGGGATGTTACTTGTCCAAACATGCACAGCCTGTCACTCTGAGCAACCTCTTACCAGCAGTTTTCCAGAGATGTTTTACCTCTGGAATAACTTGTTTGGAAATGTACTTGCTTGAGTAAATATTTTTGTTTAGGAGGACACACTGAGGTTTCCTGGTGTGTTTGTTTTGATGTTGAAGGCATTGTTTTCAGGGCTGGGTGAAGACCTAAACCTGCCATAAGTATGAAAAACTTGCAGTTAAATATTGAAGACAGACAAAGAAAGCATTATCCTTACTTTATATTTGATTAATTGGAACAGAAATTAATATCTCAACCTTAAAAGAGCTGTCTGTGGTAGGACAGGGAATTTAGCCTCAATCTTAGTGATTTCCAGCTCAGTGCTGTTACCACAAGACACACCTGTAATTTCTTTTTAATTCTGAACGGTAATTACTTAAACAGAAATGGTTTCTTTTATCTCACTCACTAACCATAAATCCTTCATGTTAACACAATTAGACATCGTTTTATCTGCCCTCTGAGCTGGGTGAAGCCTGATGCATCCTCATGTTCATTTGGAGGCTGGAGCAGAGCCCTCACACGTGGGCAATTCCAGCCCTGGCTGATGGAGCACCCAGGCTGTGCCCTCTGCTGCCCCAACTCCTGCAGGTGATGATTCACAGCTCTCAACAACCATTTCAGGAAATCTGTTCCTGACACAAGTCCCAGGTTCTGACAAGGTGATTTGTTTCCCTTGTTATTAACATTCCTCCATCGGTGTTAACAGGAAGGGAGGGCTGTGCAATGTGTTGGTGTTGATGGGTTTGTATTGGCTGCTCTTTGGATTTTGGTTTTGGTTTGGTTT